CACGCAGTGGTCAAATCTAACAAGCTCGAAAAACAAGGCAACACTTTGCTCCTTTTTTGCTGATTATTTTTGACGTGCGCTTATCAAGGTGAAGTGGAACCTGATCCCACTTTGCCTAACGGCAGCGTAAAAGCTGCTTCGTTCGGTCTTGTGTGTGCCAAAGGCTTATTCCACTGCACATTCCTTTCCTCCCACCCACCCTGCACTACAATATTAGTTAGAGCACCTGCCTTCCAAGTGAGAGGACATGCGTCAATTCCCAGGCAGGGCAAAACCTTTGGCAAGTTTCCTTACTCCACATGCCTCTATTTACTTAACAGTGAGTCTCAATGACTGCGATAATACCCTATATCAAATACAAGGATTATTATTATTGCACTAAGTAACATTGCACCGTATCCTTACTTGCTTGTGTACCGTACAAGTGTCATATTTCCTACGCTATCACTATCCCATTTTTAGAATAATACTCTCATTGCAAATTGCCTTCCCGCTGGTATGCTCGGACTGTTGAGCCCCGTGTTAGTGACGGAAGCTCGCTGGAAGATGTTGGAAAGGGGCCAAAAGGAAGGGCAACAATGGTCCAATTAAAATGTCAGTGTCAGTGTTGGTGTCAGCCTGACTCAGTTGGCAACACTCTCGCCTCCTGAGTCAGAAGGTGAGTCAGTGGCTTCGAGCAAAGTCCAGGCTGACAGTGCAGTTTCCATTGCCCGCGCCAGCCGTCCTTTGGCCAATGAAGGAGAAACCAATTTGCCGTTACGTTATCTTGAGTGTGTGCGTGTTCCTGGTCGTGCCAATGCCCAACCCATTGTGTCGGAAGGACTCATGTTCTCTCTCCCCCCCGGTTTCCATGTCTCCGCCAACACACATGCACTTTGCGGAGAGAGAGAGAACCTACCCAGGTCCTCTCGCTTGCGGGGCGAGTGCTCTAACCACTGCAGGACTTCTGCTGTGCTGTGCTCTGCTCTGTGGGGATGGAGAGCCATCATGTTATTTCCAGCTAAGGAAATTACTTCCGACTAACAATGTGTTAGTTTGGCCGAGTAAATGAGGTAATGAGACAGTGAAGCGAGACAAACAGAGGTGTGGTACATCAGTCAGGGGTAGCGGGAGCCGGGAGCGCATGAATATTTCATTCCATTAGAAGACTAGCGTTGCCAATGAACAGAGGCCACACAAAGCACTCAGCTGTGCCGAGCGGAATACCGGATCAGAGGTTGCTTTAAAGTGAAGCAAAATGTTAATTCGCTTCTGCGCAAACAGCCGTGGATTGAGAACCAAAATACGCGGAGACAGTAAACAAAGGTGTGCGGAGTGAGGAAACTTGCCTAGGGTTTCGCCCCGCCTGGGAATCTAACCCAGGCCCTCTCGGTTGCGAGGCGATGGTGGCAGTTTGGATGAAGAAAGTCCTTTGTCCAATCTGATCTCACACCCCCACAATACCTACCTGCCTTTGACCACCGTTCCTGGCAACCCGTTCCAGCCTTTAATTACCCTCTGCGTAAAGAAAAGCTTTCTGAGACATCTTCTCTTAAGACTGAAGAAGCCCCTAACTTGTCTAATTGTTTCTCAACTTAGAATTGGGAATGGGGGAGGGGAGGGGTGGGGGGGGGGTGTGGGTTGGGGGGAAGAATCTGCATCTGCTGAGCCCAATCTTTGCAAACATTCTGGTCACTTGTTTAAGTCTAGCTGCAAAGCAATTAATTGTCAGCAATGAAGGAGACTGCAATAACCTGGGATACAGGCAATGCATGATCTCTTCACTGCCATCCCCCCCCCCCCCCACCACCACCCTCCGCCCTTTCAGGCTCAATAACCACTACTCACACGCGCTATTTAACTTTGCTTCACGTTCGGGTAATTTTTTACACAGTTATCTATCAGAAGGGTTTGCGACTCCCTGTAACTCCCGTCATCCGCACAAACCATTTCAGTGAGGAGAGTTGGCAGCAGCGATTTCTAATTGGATTACAGGGCAAAGCGAACTGCAGGCAGCTCCCAACAGCTGTCAGATCTAAAACCGTCCGAAGCCAAAGCAATAACTCGCTCGTGTTGTAATAACATCCTGCTCTTTGGCTGAGAGATCATGAAATGTTTCTTAAACAACACCAGGCTGGCTCAGCGCCACACGATACACAGTGGGCAGCATGGCTCCACGCGCTGGCAGGGGTACAGGCTCTTACACAACCTCGCTGAGGTGTTGAGGCTGGTGTGAGCTAGCGGGCATTGAAGGGCAGCCGCCCAGGGAACCACTGGTCTGGTGGATGGAGACTGCGATGGATGGCTCTAAGGGCAGCTCCGCGATCCAATTGAAGGGTTCAGCGTCTCCAGATCCAGCTATCCACTGCCTGTAATTCCTCTCCATCGCACCTGTTCTCACTGCTGGGTGCACCAGGCAAAGGGGGATGGAGGGGAGATCTTATGAAGAATCTGGGCATTGTTATTAGTTCAGATTTGATATCTCCTGGTCCGCAGATAAGGGGTCAATGGGTGTTGGTCAGAGGTCTGGTGATATGGATTTGAAAGGGCCACAAAATCACCACAGTGCTTTGAAGGTTGTTCACACTACAATGGGTCTAATCCACTCTGCATGCAACTGGGAGACCCATTGCACACAAGTTCACGTTCTGATTCATAATAATCCTTGCATTTGATACGACACCTTATCACCTCGTTGAGACGTCTCAAAGAGCTTCACGGGATATACTGTAAAGTGAATTGACCGTGTATTTTGTGGGCAATTTATACAAACACCAATTGCGCACAGCGATGACCCACAAACAGTCATGGAGTCAGCGACCAATTTTTTTTTTTTGCTTTGAACGGATTATTATTCCCGGAAAGCGATCTGCCAATCGACTAACAACCGGTAACTTTGCATTAACTTCAAATTTATGTGACGTTACTCTTAGGCGGTGTGATTGTGGAGCTCACTGTGTGTGTGTGTGTGTTTTTGGGGTGGGGGGAAAGAGCGATGTGACACATAATGTTTCTTTCAGTATGAAGGAATCAGAAACTTGCATGTTTATAGCACCTCGCATGTCAAATGACTCGAAGCAGTTTACCGTAATTATTACCAAACGTGCTGCAAAACCAGGTGCTGTTGACATATTGTTCCTCTTGAAATAAATAGTTTGAAGCTATTTTCCTGCTCGCGGAGTAAGGCACAGATGTGCTGATTAAAGGTCCCGGGTCAATGTAAAGCGCCCTGCCTGCCATGGCATTCTCAGCACCGCATTTACCACCAGTGCATTCTCCTCCCATCGCATTCCCTAACAGCGCATTCCCACCAGCACTACACTCCATTCCCCAACACTCCAGTCCTCGGCCTGCCTCAGGGGAATGTCGGACCTTTGACAAAAAGCAGCCGACACGATCACAAAACACTTTATGTTCGCTGGACGTTCAATGAAATAGACCGCTGATTAGAGCAGGGTTAGAGCTTTTTGCTGCTGGCAACAAACGCCCGGAAGGGTTAAAGTCAGCGTGGCTCCTTGACTGAACTCCGGTACTTTTCATTACTCCACAGGGCTGAGTGGGTTTAACGAGAGAGCTCGGTTCTGTGTCTGGAATTAACTGAGTGTGAGTGAGGGGACCCAGCTGACTCAGTGCCTTCTTCACTCCGTGCATGTTTCATCAGACACTGTTGGTTCAAAGCGCAACCTGCTGCTGGGGGAGGTGGGCGGAGGGGACACTCGGTCTGTGAAGGCAGAGTCTCCAGGTCAGGGGCGGGAGAGGGGAAGGGGCAGGGGTATGGAGGTAGGGGTGGTGGGGAAAGGGCAGAGGCGTGAGATTCAATGTATAGCTCTTACAGTGGTGCTGCACAATGGCTGAATGGCCACCTTCTGTGCTGTAAAACCTTGTGTTTCTATGACCTGAGCGATATGATAAGGGCCTATATCAAATGCAAGGATTATTATTATTGTTATTATATAGGAAATGTGCTTCCCTACAGATGACCCCTGTTATTATCCTCCCAAAAAGCCAGTTAAAAGTAATTAAGATCGAGAGTGCTCTCTCCTCTCGCTCTCTTTCTCTTTCTCTCACACACTTGCTCTCTCTCCACCTGTGCCCACTGGAATGAGTACCGGGGATGGCAGTGAAAGGAACTGGTAAAGTGGAACTCCGCACCGCACAGCTCATTAAGCCTGAAGTTAAAGCAAATTGACAGAGAGAGACGGGATAGCTGCTCCCGTCAGCCCGCACAGCTCACGTCCCACTGCCTCCGTCTGCCCAGGACTCACAGCTGTCATTGCATTTTAATTAAGTGGAGCCCTGACGCCGCAAGACGTGAAGGCTGCTCTACTCGCTCACGGGGAGCTACCTGGGGTTCTGGGGCTGTGTCACTGAGCCGCGGTGAGATGGCAGAGAGTTTGGCTCCCAACCACACTCCGCTGCAGGTCTGAACTCAGGTTGGCACTATAAATGGCTACGAGTAACACATAGCCTCACCTCACTGTGCTGATAGCTGTGTTGAACTTCCCCTCCCACCTCCTCCCCATCTCCTGTGACAATCACGGTAGTAGCCAGTCCATCTGCTCCTATTCCATTCCACTTTTTTTCCTTCTGGGTTACCCCTCTCTCTCTCCCACCTCTTCCAGCGCCTTGGGACGTCCTCCTGACGTGAAAGGCGCTTTATAAATGGAATCTTGTTGTTGTTGTTGTTCCTCTTGTCCTCGAGTTGGTGGCTAATGTACAGATGTGAGGAGCCAAAACTGCCGGTACAAATTGACATTACTAATCGTGCGGCAGTCTGGTCAAGTCTTTGATTGAGACAGAGAGTGAACAGTGTATCTCACTTAAGCAAGTTACTTATATCGCGATTTCTACTTATATTTCTCACCCGCAAAATATTCAGTCAATTCACTTGACGGTATATTCTGTGAAGCGCTTTGAGACGTCTCGAAGGCATGTGGTGCTGAATCAAATGCAAGGGTTATTGTTACAGTGCAGTATCTACTGGGTATTACTCACCAAACACTATCTGTTTTGCATTGCAGGTTTCACCAGGGGGATTACACGGTTGGCGTCTGCATCAACGACTACCTTGACATCTACTGCCCTCACTATGGGGAGCGCGTGCCCGAGTCCAGGACGGAGAGCTACATCCTGTACATGGTGAATTTTGACGGGTACCGGAGTTGCGATCACAAGAACCATGGCTTCAAACGGTGGGAGTGTAACCGGCCCCGCTCCCCCAACGGGCCCCTCAAGTTCTCAGAGAAGTTCCAGCTCTTCACTCCCTTTTCTCTGGGATTCGAATTCCGACCAGGGAACGATTATTATTATATATGTGAGTGCCTCCGAGATTTTCTCAGCTTTTCTTCCTCCTTGCGAATGAATCAATAGGACGGTTTCACACTAATTCTACCCCTTTCCCAGCACCAGCACAGCCCCAGGTCTTGAAGCTAAAGTCCTTCAAATTACGAAGGGCTCAATGACAGGTTAACGGTGGTAGATTGCTTCCATTGATCAATTGGTGTTGAGCAGAGAACACATATTTAATACAGTCGCATAAGACATTAAGGAGTGGTTCGAAAAAATTGTCTTGTTTCGGAGGGTGATTGAAAGGCCACAAACTTGTGACACTGATCCAAGTCTATAAATTCTTTACATAGATATAGGACATTTGGCCCAACTGTTCCATATCGGTCATTATTCCCCCCCTCTCTCTCCCCCTTTGGCCCACAAATGGCCTGTTTTGGTGCTCTAACACTGAATGATTCTATGACAGTTTCAGCAGTGAATGAACAGCTTCTGTGACGGATACAGATTTTCTGAGCTCTGGCATTACTTTTAGGGTCCCTGCCGTGCAGTGAAAAATCTCCAGGACGGTGTAATTTCAAGATCTGGGCCATAATCCTTGTTTTATTAAGCTTCCTATTAAATGTGATGCCCGTCAAATTGAAACTCTTGATTACTGCAGTGTTCCCAGCCCCCTCGCTCAGCCGAATGTCCTAATTGAGACTCCTGAACGAGTGAAATAACCTCCCAGCTCTTACGGCTGATAACGTGGTTGTCAGAGACTAGGTGAGCGCTGCTCACAGCGGCAGGGGACAAGTGTTTGAGAGTCATTGGGATGACATTAGTCACAGTGACATCGATCTGCTAAGAATGTACAGAATGTCATGAGAGACCCAGGTTTGATCATTAAAGCCACGAGTCAGGCTGTCGAATGTTATGCCGCCACTCCAAAGTACCGTAGCTATTCACAGCAGCCAAGCGCTGAGATGACTGCTCAATGGTGATTGTAAGTGTGTAAAATATTCCTTCAAAAAAAAAGCTGGAAATCCAAAAGGTGTGTAACCGTAACATTATTGGGCTCCACCATTATTAAGCGCCCGGCGTGGAGGGCGCTATTATAAGTGCAAGTTGTTGCTGTTGATATTGTTCCCCAAATCAACCTCCCACGTTAAAACAGCAACAACTTGCATTCACATAGGGCCCTTCACACAGGTAGCATCTCGGACCGCTGAGTAAAGCGGCTGTGTGTTTGTAAGTGACCGCGACAGCCCAGTTGCGCGAGGCAATGTCCCACAAACAGCCGTAACAGCATTAGGAAGAAACAGAGTCTGCTGCAGACTGTTCCCCCCCACTGGCCACTGTGCATTCATTGAGCCAGCGAGTTTAAGCCACCCGTGATGAATTGCTGTACTAAAATAAAGTAGGAATTAGTATTCAAATGGCGTTACCCATGAGAAATTACATCTTAGTTGGCTTCACTGCAGCTTCCATCAGACAAGAAAAATATATCTATCCCTTTGGAAACAAAATCCCATTAACCTCGGAAACCCAAAACCACAGTTAACATGTTGTATTTAAGCTTTCCCCTCTCTGTCCGGGGAAACAAAACCTTTTGTCCTAATTGCAGATTGCAATGCTAACGATTGCTCTGTTAGACCATTAGAGCTTCCTCCTAAAGCGTCTGTACGTTAACCCTTCCCACCTGTCCTATTTCGTTGCCGCATCTCGCGGCAGGAAAGAGATTAATCCTTTGCCTTACCCAGCATCACACCCAGTTTGCAACCCAGAGGAAACAACTTCAATGTATTCGGATGGTTTATTTTTCTTGGGAACATAGGAACAGAAGTAGGTCATTCAGCCCCCCCCCCGAGCCTGTTCCACCATTCTTTTAGATCATGGCTGATCTGTACCTCAACTCCAATTACCCAATTACCCGCCTTTGCCCCATATCCCTTGATTATGTAGCTTTGAGGCAATTTGACTTCCTCGATGGTATATTTTACCACGTGGCATGGGACTAAACTAGTCATTCGAAAGGGTTGTGGCTCAGTCGCCTGGGCTGTGCCGAATTGACATAGGATTACAATTAGGTTTAACAATCATTGCGCCATTTTATAGGGAATAAAATACACCAGAATGCTCACTCCTGATCATTTATCCAGGGAACATCTTCCTCCCTCCCTCCCCTCGCTTTGCGCTCTGGGACAATATCCCGCGTGAGGGGTGCTATATAAAATGCAAGTTGTTGTTGTTGCTGAACAGTTGCTTGTGTTGATGTCAGGTGAGGACAAGATTGGACACAGATTATCTGGACTCACGCAAGTTGCCCACTTGTTTCCCACTTGGGCTAAGACCAAAAATTCCCAGGAATCTCATCTCCCAGCCCGTGTTAGTACCTACAGGAGTGGAGAGGAGAAAATTGGTAGTGATGTGGGGGAGCAGGCGAGCAGGGGAAAGAAAAGGAATCAGCCCAAAGTTGATTGGCAATTTTGGAAACTACATTCCAAACTTCTTTCTCAGCACTAACTGCCGATTTAGTATGAGGCATTTTGAGAGGCCGTAAAAATCCCAAATGAAAGATGGTACATTTTTAGATTGTAAAAGTAATGGCAGACTTGCAGTTGCATTTGCTTGGAGCTGATTGTGAGTTGCTGGGAGTGAGGCAAGGAACATAAGAACATAAGAACATAAGAAATGCCAAACGAAAAAAAGACCGAGGTCCATCTAGCGTTGCTTCCAACTTCCTGCCGGTCGTATGCACATATGTCCCAAACTATGTACTATATACTGTGTATTATGTACTATACTATAGGAAGGAAAGGCCAAGTGAAGGGAAATGGGCTGTGGATGTGAGTATGAGGTTTCGAGGCCACTATTCTTGCTTGTCAGTAAGGACAGTCTTCCTCCTCTGAGCCGTGAAATCAAAGGCATCCAAGCTTCGGGGATGGTGGCGTTTTCTTTAGCTCTGTTGTCAGGCTCCAGGTGAGGAATATGATCCAGGGCCCATTGGCAAGCTGATAATAAGGATCTCTCTGTTTACCTACAGCAGCACTCTGAGTCCATGTCTGTTGGTGTCACAATGAGTGCACTTCATAAATAACACGCGATTGATTGTCTCCTTTTCTTGTGACATTGTTAGGAACAAGATCTGGTAGACTGCTCAGGTGGAAGTTTACTGAAGGAGATGCATAGTGCCCAGTGCAAAACGGGGCTGGTTCAGTACATAAAATGAGCTTAGAAAACAAAATGACCTGGCTCCTTGTGTTAAGCAGTCGGAGGTAGATTTTAGTCAAAGCAAAGAATTATTTTACTTGCATAATTCCTTACGAAATGAATCGACATTAGGATTTACAAAAGCAGTTACTTTCACACAAGATGAGCACCTCAAGGCGCTTCACAGAGACTAAAGGAATAATAATAATAATAGTGATATGGCATCTGAAAGACGTCGAAAAGAAGCACTAAGCTGGGAGAAGAGGACAGACACCCTTAGGTTGACACTTCAGGAAATCCTGCATTGAGAGAGGTGCCACCTTTTGGATTCAACTTTAGATTGAAGTCTTTGATGTTAAAGATCCCATATAACACTGTCCTCCCGATGTGAAAGGCCTTGACATCAAATGCAAGGATTGTTATTATATTATATGGTGCCTGGACTCACAATCATAGTTTCTGGCTTCATTCACAATTTCTTCAGTAAAGAGAGGATTGAATTTTTGCAATCTGGTTGGCCGAGAGAATAATATGAGTGTGCGATGAGCTGTCACAGTCCAACAGTTACATCACAGCTTTTTGTGCAAATGAACCTTCCAGTGAGCTTGGTGATGAGATGGGGACATTGGACTGATTAAGATAACCAAGCTGCATTAATCAGCTCTTCCTATTCCAATTTAAGGAGCAGCGCAATGTTCATTAGAAGCACATTAATCTACAGAGCGACATCCAAATTAAGTTTCAGTCTTGACATTTGTTCACAATTGGCTCCCTTTGAGAAAAAACTTTCCATATCCCACTTGGACCAGTTTGGCTCAGTTGCTAGCACTCTGGGCAGAAGATTGTGGGATCAAGCCCCATGCTAGGATTTTGAATCTACACGTCTAGTTGATAGTTTAGGGGTAGTGGTCGGCCAACAAAATAAATCTTCTTGATTGAATATTTCTTGATTAATGCCGTAAATCAGGAAACGCTCCAATAAAGAAAAACCTGGAGACACATTGCCGATCGAACACAGATTTACCCAGACTCATGCAAATGTTTGGGGGACCAATTATTGATGGTCCACCAAAGTTGGCCACCACTGCTTACGATCACCTCTTCCCTCCCCCGACTCGATGTGAGGCTCCGCCACTGTTAAGCGTTCCGAGACACAGCCCCATATGAAGGGCGCTATATAAATGCAAGTTGTTGTTGGTGCTTTAGGGGAAGCCCTGCATTGGTAAAGGTGCCATCTATTGAGTTTAGCTATAATTGAAGCTTCTGGATATTAAGGAAGGTTCTGGCCAACAATTTTCCAATTAAATTGGCCACTCACTTGATGGCTATCTGTGGAACTTTACTAGGCGCAAATGCCTGCTGTGCTTACTTACAACTGCACTTGACAGCAATTATCTGTGAAGTGTTTTGAGATGTTTTGATGTTACAGGCGAGTGCAAGGATTAATTTAGTTAAGAACTTCGGAACTATGTGCTGTGGGAAGCACTAAGACAGGTACAGGACAGGCTCAGGCACTTCCCAAGAGAACAACAGCACCTGTCACATATCCTGATGTGAAGTGTTGCATTAGAGGTAATAAGACAGAGAGCAAAGTCACACGTATAGCTCCAAAACGAGAGACAATTACGTCTTTGAAAAATTTCTGAACAAAATAGGTAAAAATGAAAGGACCATTAACGGAGACGCTAATTACAGGACATTTCACTTCCCTCACCTGTAATTTAGCGCACAAACTGCAACAGTTGTGGGCAGACTATCACTGAACATCTCTGCGGGTCTGCAAATGTTTAACCCTTGCTTGTTGCTGTGATCTGAGCATCAGCTGTCAGAATTGGGTGCTATAATGATCTAATGGCAACAGGTCTTCAAAGCCAAGATGACACTTAAGGTGCTTAATTGAGGCTTAATCTGGATTTGTGCTTGATCGGAATTGAAAGGCATCCTGCAGATGAACCTGGAGGCGGATTAAATGAGACCCTGAATCTTGCAGCAATGGCTTTGATCAGGATTGTATCCGATGTCCGTGGCACTGGTGCCTGATGGGCAGCTCATGAACATAAAGATCCCTCCAGGAGGCCGAGATTCCTCCAAGGACATATAATCCTCCCAATCATTGATGAAACTGCTCACACTCCTGAAAGGGGGAAATAAACAAGATTGAACAGACTCCTTTTTAATCAGTAACAACTTGGGTTTACATAGCGCCATTCACGCAGAGAAGGGTCTCAGAGAGCTCCAGCCCATCCGTAATAAAAGCCAATAATCTTTTAAGGTTCTGTCATACATTCTCATAAACAGGGCACGATAAGGTTTATGTGTGTGCGCACCAGAGGGGCACCTCATGGTGACAAGAGAATGGAGCGTATATATTGCTTTGTGTTACCCGTGTCTCGCGGTCCTCACAGAGTGATGTACCTTTAAGACATTCAACCCCATTCAGTAAGACGAACCTGCATTTCATCTGCCTGTCATTCTGGTCCCGAATCCCAAGGCCAGACAAAGATCTGTAGACAAAGAATGTGTCTATCACCAGACCTGCTCTTACAGACATCCCAGCTGACTGTAAAGAAGAGAGCAGGACAAAAAGCTAAATTCATCTTGTCTCACTGGGTGAGCGCTCCTTGGCCACGCTTTGTTCATTTCCCTTTTTCCCTGTTGAGGTCCAGTGCACACGGTTTAGCCAGAGACTGACATCTGGGCAAACTCGCTTTAGAATTTCAAAACGCTTTAACCCTTTTCAGCCATACACCAAGGCACCGTTGCTTTGAATGGTAAATGTCAAATCGCATCTCAATGGATCCTGGGGTCATTATTGTTTGACCTTTTTAAAGACTGCGGCATTATGTAAACTCTGTGTCTAAATGCACCGTAGTTTTGCTTCCGTTTGCCCCTATTTTTTTCCCTCCGGCTCCTCAATGCATCTTGTCTGAGTTATTCCTTGTACGGGGCCCTGTTATGTTGATACCTCACATGGGTGCTTCCAAAAGGGATACAGGAGGCGATAAGCCTGGGTACTATTCCCTGACAGCCAACCAACAATTGGCCTGAGAAGTAAAACTCGTCGCTCTCACAACTAGCAGCGTTGGTTTTCAACCTCAGGGCTATTTGCAAACTGGTAAGAATAATACAATACTGAAAAGACCCAGCGTTCAGCTCGTTTCAAAGTGCATCGACTCCCCTTCTTCTCTTTTGACTGGGTGCCGGTGTCAAAGTGATCAGGTTTCTCTGGTCACACTCACTATGAGGGCTCCCATGTAAAGGGCGGTCACTTTGGCAACATGCCAGAGGGGTGCTGGGTGCCTGTGGAGTCAGCACCTACAGAAGAGAAAGCGAGAACTTTAAAGGGTGGGGTGGGGGGAAAAATGCCATAAGATTAAGTTTTGGTCTCCTCATTTAAGGAAGGATGTACTTGCCTTGGAGTGGGTGCAGCGTAGATTTACTGGGTTAGTACCAGGGATGAAGGGGTTGAGTTACGAGGATAGGCTGACCAATTTGGGCCTATATTTTCTAGAATATAGAAGAATTAGAGGGGATCTTATAGAAAACTATAAGATCATCACAGGGCAATGATAGAGTAGATAGTGGAAGATTGTTTTCCCCGGTTGGAGAAACTAAAACCAGGGATCACAACCTTAAAATCAGAGGCAGCCCTTTCGCACTGAGTTGAGGAAGAACTTCTTCACTCAAAGGGTGGTAAATGTATGGAACTCACTACCCCAAAGAGCTGTTGACGCTCAGTCCTTGGAACAAATTCAAGACTGAGATAGATAGATTTCTTATTGCAAAAGGGATTAAGGGATATGGGGATAAGGCAGGGTCAGGTTATTAGCTGGAGTTAGATTAGAAGATCAGCCATGATTGAATGGCGAGGCAGGCTCGAAGTGCCAAATGGCCTACTCCTGTTCCTACATGTTATATTATGTTATGTTATATTATTAATGCGCTTGAGAACTGCCATTTCTTCTAAATAAGTCTAGATTCAGGAAGAACTGTTCCAGAAAAATAGAATTTTTCGACATGCAGAAGGCCATTCGGCCCATCATGTCTCTGCTACCTTTTTCAAGTCGTCCTTTTTATTAATCCCACATTTTTCTCTTTCCCCGATCCCTGTAATTTTCATTTAACATCGCAGATGTTTTATCTATTTCCCTTTCGAAAAATTCCACTACGTATTGCAAAACTTTTGGTAGAAAGAGCTAATTGGTCTTATACCCTTCAATGTAAGTAAACACTACTTTCAAAATGTCTATTGCAAAAGCAACGGGTTTAGAGACGGTGGCTGGAATGTGATGTCTACAAAGCAAGGCTTTTCTGCTCCTGAAAGCAACCTTGTGACATGTGGTTATGAGACACACTGACAATCTTTTATTATCTTTGCAGCATCACCTCACCCTAATATTATTGGGAAGCCATGCTTAAAGCTAAAAGTATACGTTCGACCAACAAGTAAGTGCTTTACGCCTCCTTCCTGAAATGTATAGTTGAGAATTGTTCCTTTCAGCTTGTGTCAGGGCTGACGCTAAATGTATGAAGTGAAACCTCAGTAAAACGCTAAGATAATCATTGCTCTAATGCACTTCTCCCTCACTATCCTACTCACATTTTCTGCCACTTTTTTCATCTTTGCCGATGTATCTTAATATTAAGGCTGCCACAACCAGTGCACGAAGAACATTCTCATTTGCCCTTGGTTCTAATGCCTCTGCTTTGCAAAGGCATTGTTTTAGGTTTCCTTCCTGGTTAAGTGGGTGGGTTGGGAGTTGGAGGAGATTAAACTGGGATGAACTAGCTCCCTGATCCAGAAGGGCAGCCTTAACCAATTCCCTGAGAAAATAACCGATGAACTTCACTGTCATCCAGTTGTGGAAAAGGATGGATGGGAGATGGTGCAGAGTAGGAAAATGTAAAGGGATTAGATCAGGAAAGGGAGGTGCCTGGCTCAAGGTGGGTTTAGTGAGTTTGGTCAGAACTTTTTACATTTTAGATTCTGGCTTTTTTAAAGACAGATATTTAATGAATCGGATAAAAGTGGGCAGAGTGTTCATGATTAGGAAGCCATTATTGGGCATGTCCCCGAGGGAGAATTGCTTTAATGAGGGAAAAACTAGCCCCTTGATGGGCAGGTGATACAGAAACTCAAAGGGTAAGTTAGCCGCAGAAGCCATTGATGAGAGCTCCAGGTGAGATGAGCATAGGCATGAGAGGGCTAATCCATCTGTAAGGGGGGGAGACAAATTACTGGAACTGAGGAATCGTAGAATCTAGATTTAGACCTCTAAATGAGCAATGGGTATTTTGAACTAGATTAATATTAGATGGGGAAGAAGGCAGGGGTCAGACTCCAAAGGATGAGCACAGTAGTTGCTCCAATCTGTTGTGTTAAAGGTTTTTTTAGGGACTTTGGGATTCTAGGAGTTTAAGGGACTAAAAGGAGAGCTCTTTCATTGAGTTAGCACAGACACAACGGTCTGGGTAGAATCTGAGGGGCATTGTTGTGTATTGCAGTTTGATGGGCGTTAAATTTCAACACTAAAGCCAAACCTAGAACCTTATTAAAAGGGGGTATCTGTTGAGAAAGTGATCCCTGATGCAGCATTGGTCAGTATTTCAGGACCTTTTCCCTTAACATATTTAATGTTTTCTGAAAAAAGGGACTTTACATTTGATTCCTTTTTTTTTGCTCACTAACCCTATGCTTTGAAAATCACCCTCACACTGACATGTAGCTACTGTGTCTATTTCTGTCATAGACAGTTGTATGGAAGCAGTAGGGGTGAATGAAGGTGATTTCGATGTAAGCAACAGTTCAGTAGAAGCATCAGGTCAGTAATATCACAGTCCCTTGTCTCTCTGTCAACCCATCTTCTGTTCCTGCTTTCCCTTGGTCTGTCTCTTCTCACATTGCACCCAGAGTTATTGAAAACTGTACGTAACTTGCACTCAATTCCACCTTTAATCTTGGGGGATGTAAATTACAGAGTGCTTGAAAGAAATGATCAGAAAGAGGCTGCCTCGGTTGCTGTTTTACACACAGCACCTCAGTAACACAGCAAGTGATAACGAAAGTCCCAGCCCGGATCCTTGCCTGATTCAGTGAAAGTGCTTCCGAGCGTGGGTTCGAACGGTGGGGGAAGGGGGAAATTTGGCGGAGGGGAGTGAAGGAATGCAAATCTAAAACAAAACAATTTGATTGAATGAATGGTGGTGGTCGGGGTGGGGTGGGGGGATTTGGAGACATAAATTGTCTCCCCTCCCCTCAAAAAAAATGTTGGCTTTGAAAACAACTTAGTGCTAATAGTCCTGAATGTGCTTTCAGCCTTTTCTGCATTTCAGACAGAGTGCAATAAGTGTCACTCACCGACCGGCCCATCTCTATTATCTGCTATTGTAAAGGCAGTCTGGCAGCTATTAGAATTGAAAGATGTCCAATTTTTATCGTAATGTAATTATTTTTGTCTGGATGTTCCTTTTTCTTTTAATCATTTCTTTTCCCATTAAGAATCCACTGACCTTGTCCTTGTGGTTCAATGTTTGTGCTGTGTGACCCAGCTCTGTTAGCTGGGAGACAAAAAAATTTTTTGAACGGGGTCAAGAGTTATTTGAAGGCCGTCTCTCACTAGATGAGTGTTAAAGGATGAATGCCTCAGCTGCCAATCTACTGCTTGCGATGGTTTAATCTTAGGGGTGAAGCCCTTTCTCCCCATCTCCTTGGAACCTGTGAGTTACAATAAAATAATAATCCCTCCCCCCAAAAAATGTGGCCACTCAATCTACGACTGTTCGTGGGACACTGCTGTGCGCAATCGGCTGCCACATTTCGGCCACAAAATATACAGTATGTCCATTAGGGAAAAGCGGTGAGAAAGAATAGTGTAGTCGTGCACCTCACAAGGAATTAAATGCATTGTGCTTGAAGCACCCAAATCAATTCAACGGCCTTTTTTTTTTGCATCTGGTTAATTTGTAAACGTTTGCGTCTACAAATTCTTATAACATTCAACGTTTTGCAACAACCAGTTCCTCGAAATTTAATGGAATAATTGACTTGTATCGTCCTTCGTGTAACACTTTCTCGTGTAGCATCAATTATTGACGCCTCTCGCTGACTAACAGAGAGGAACGTTCCATTTCTGTGCAGCGACGCTGAGTATAATGCATTTCTCATGTGGCAGCAGCATTGCATGCAGAGGCTCCTGCGTTTCAGAGTTGGTTCACGCTGGTCCCAAGTAGGCCAGATGCGTCTTGTACATTCAGTGACGCGTTTGTGCTTCCAGATCTCAAGATGTTCCTTTTCTTCAGCTGATAAGAAAGCAGTGGTGGTACTTACCTGCCCTAGAATTCACAGGCCTCACGTTTCGGTGTAAATTTCCCCATGGGGCAGGTCCGGGGTTGAGAGAAGGTAGATAGAACACTGTGGAGCATCGCTGAGTGTGCTGATGTGCATCAGTGTTACATACTGTGCGGTGAGACCACCTTGAACATAAATCATTCATTCCTGCCACCAGAGCGTCCATCATTAATTTACGCAGGGGCCTTGTGTTATTCTTAGTGTTTGAGTCCCGTGAATGTTGGCAGGTCACTTGAACCACTGGGGGGGACATCGACCCCACGCGCTATCCAAACATGTGCACTTTCCAACAGGGCTCAAGGTCTAGATTGGGAACGGGAACCCTAGCTGATATTTTTTACCCTCTCCTCAAGCCAAATGAGGACAATTGTAGCCCCATCTCTTTCCCAGGCTAAGGCCAGGTAACCCAGCACAGACTGGGGAATGGGGCCCGAGTGGCCTTAGCTTTACGCTTTACCAGGTTAGCTATTGAAACACACTGCTTAGGTCCACAATAACTCGTGCTCGGAACACAATAAAAACTGAGGGAAAGATCTGAGCTGGCAAAGGGTTTGTAGGCAGGAATTTTCACGCGGGAAAATTAGCCTTCATTCTCAGCGCATTTCAGTTTTGTTTTCACCTTAAAATTTGGGATCAAAAACAAAGCAAAAACAAATATAAACACTTTGAATGCTAATCTTAATATAATTGTGACCTGCATCGGGGACTAATCTCTTAATATATACTGTACCGCAGACTGTTCCTGAAGTCTCGCTTAATGATATCTTATGAACAGCAGAATCTGGCTGGCACTAATTTACTCACCGGTTAAGCATTCATAGAGGGTTATTAATAACGAGTGACATTTTAAATAACATTTAACTTCTGTTGTATAATGAGACTACAGTGGGTGATTGAGTGGGCTGCGGGTTGGTAGACGGGGTTGAGCCGATTATTGCATGCGCCGTAGGCTGACCTTCAATCAGCTCAAAGCCCGTTTCCCAATGAAACTGATTCCATTTCACACTGTGCCATTAGGGGAGGCGACTGATCCTGTGCGCAATTGGCTGTATGTGTTTTTTGCCCACAATATACACAGTCACTGCACTTTACAGTATAATCCCTTTAAAAAATAATAATAATAATAATTTGGTCACTCAATCCACGACTGTTTGTGGGGACGCTGCTGTGCGCAATTGGCTGCCGCGTTTCATCCACAAAATACATAGTCAATTCACTTTACAGTATATTCCGTGAAGCACTTTGAGACGTCTCGAAGACGTATAATGGCAAAGATTATTATTATTATTGATCCCTGTCTTGTATTTGTGCTGAAGGTCAGGGAGGGCGTTTCAGGAAAGACAAGGCACTCACCTCCCCTATCGTCACATCAGAACAATAGGAGGGGCGAGGGCTGTAAACACCCACTACCCACTGCCTCAGCAATAACTCTCTTTTCTTTAGTGAGGAGCTGAGATCAGTGCTTTGCTGGGTGTGGGATAGCCTTGGACAACGCTTGGCATTGGTGCCAGTGAATCTAATTTGGTTCCACCTCAACAATGTCATGTCTTCATGTCTCCCTGTGGGCGGCTGCTGTTGTCCGTACAACATCAGGGTCCGTTGGCACCAAAGAGCGGTACAATGGCAGAGTAGCCACCCGCTGGCAGAGATGCAGCTTCTCCTGGCAGGCGCGATGCCAGGTTTGGTTGGCAGATGCAGTGGCTAATCCCACAGACCCGAGTTTGATGCTGGCATTAGCCCTGGAGCTGCCCCCCTCACCCACCGCCACCCATCTCAGCTGGGAAAGGTCCGCACAGAGAGGAAAGCAAGGAATGCCAGCCAGGCCAACCAAACACAAGCTGGCACGGGTTTCACAGCTGGCTGCGTGGGCTATTGGCACAGTGAGCTATTGGCAATAGGCCAATGTGAGTCACGGCATTAACCGCTCAGTCAACTCATTGTAAACCATGAGCAACATTCAATTCAGCAGGGAATTGGGGAAAATATAAGTGTTAAACATAGCCATTACTAATTAGCTGCTGCGGTGTGCCTACATAACAACATTCTGTACCATTTAAAATTTTATCATTTACTTTCAGATTATCATCCCATTTTTTGATTGTGTTAATTTTCAGTTCAGTGATTCCAGTGGATTAAAAAGGGCTTTGAAATTTCAAAATAAACACGCCTAGAGTTTTTCTCCAGATTATGCTGGTTTGTATTCTGTCCCCAATCCGAATTTACGCAAATTCAAATTAATTGTCTATTCATCTCATGTTCAATAGGATGTTTCTGGGTACAGATTAGCTACTGCCTTTGCATATTTAACAACATTCCCTCACCATAACCATAGCTCTTATTCAATTATGTTTTGTGAAGTGCTTTCGAAACGTTTAGCTTTTCGTGAATGGTTCGGTGAGTGAGGCTTCTGCTGTGCTCTAAACGCCAGATGTTGAGTTTAAAAATATTTCATATTATTTAATAACATTTAACTTCTGTTAAATATAAGATATACAAAATAAACAGTCAATTCACAATTTGTGACTGCTCATAAAATATACAGTCAATTCACTTTACAGTACATTCTTTGAAGCGCTTTGAGACGTCTCGAAGACGTGACAAGGCTTTCTATCAAATTCAATGATCATTACTATTATTATTATTATTATCGTTAATCTGTTCCGTTTGGTAAAATTCAGCCCAAACCATGCCAGATATTCCCAAACAAAGACAAACACGTTATTTAACGTTTAAAGGAACAGCGTAATGTCTCAGAGCAACTGGGGCAGACAAGTAGAGATCCACCCAGCCATACTCATTACAGTTGTGCCCTTCCAGCACAACCTCAACTCTGACAGGGACACAAGAGAGGTTCATATAAAGACCTTTGGCCCCATTTGATCTCATCCTTCCAGAATCCCCTCCCCGCCATCCCCCCGTCACAGAGCGTGTAGAGCTGACTGTTTTTTTTAAAAGCGAGCGAACGACTAACATTACGTTAAGCATCATTTCTGCCGTCAATCAGATGCCTTTTTTTTTTAATCAGGGTTTGCTAGAAAAATGAGCAAAACAGAAAGGAAGAAAGACCTTGCAGATGCTTATTTGTGTTGTGTTTTTTTTCTTTCGCAGACGATTCTATATATGAATCTCCAGAGCCATATCACGATGGCATGACGACCTTAAGGATGTCCTGGCTGATCTTAGCCACAGCATTCCTCCTGACCCTGCTCACGTCATAGCACTCGAAACACAGGCGATTTCTGTGTAAAGGACTTGAACCAAAGTGTAGACGGCACACGTGAGTGACTTGGGTCAGAACAGAAGAGACCCCATTTTCTGAGAGGCGTTGCCGTTAACACAAATCATTTGAGGAACAGATGTGATCCATTAATGCTTTCCGAGAAGGGAATTTCTCATTTTCTTGTGAAGTTCTGCCCTGGGCCACCGAGGCTTGATATAAAGTACAAAAAAAATAGCATCAGATATCTCCGCGGAGGTTTTTTTGCAGATAAACGTTCCTCAAATGGAATCTATGTTGGTGCAATTATTCATTCCACCAATAGGTCAGGACTCAAGACGGGAAAAACGGAGATGCCTTTGGGAGAATTCGATCATCCATGGTCCTTTCAGCACTGCTCATCATGTTAATACCATGCTGATTTGCCACAAAACCGACTCATTTCTTTGCTACTTAGGGTTTTATGTTTCGTTTGCCTTTTGATTGTTTCACAAAAACGCCTGGGTTTGAAAATTCTCCAGCAAAGGCCGATGGCTTCATTCATGAAAGATGGCATATATCTAGTCTCAATCCGAATGGGGTCTGGGGAGGGCGAGGGGTGGGAGTGGGGGGGGTTGGGGGGCGGGTGGGGTGGGGTGCTTTAATACTGCATTTTCAGTTTGGGTTTGAAGGCAAATGCTTTGTGAAGGTTAATACAGTAACATAGCCCAGCCCAGATCACAAGGGGGTTTGCTTTTCTATGAGATCCCACGTACATGTTCCTCTGACTCTGGTTCTGACACACTTGCGTACTCATGCCCTGCATCCGAATAACACAGAGGTTTAATGGGGTTGGGTTTAAAGTCGCGGAGTTATGGATTCAGACAAACAAAAGGTGAGAAATCGCTAAGTGAAATTGCCAATTTGGTGCTAATTAGAGCATTGAGCCCAAGTTGCCTAAAAAATCAGGTCAAGACTCATTTCACATGGAACTCCCCCCCCTCAGTCAGAGACTTTCATCATATCAAGTATGGGTTACATTTCAACCCAGGTCCCAGGGGTACAAAGTTAGCGTCTAATCCATTTCACCACCCTTTTCCTTTGCTGATTAACTTAAAGCAAGGGTTTTATGAATGGGGTTTTCCCTGCGTTGTAACCTGCAGTATAACCTGTAGAATACAAAACACAGGAGTGTGTGTGTGTGTATGTTATATAATAACTCTTGCATTTGACATAGCGCCTTATCACATCATTGAGATGTCTCAAAGCGCTTCACAGAATACATTGTAAAGTGAATTGACTGCATATTTTGTAGGCCAAACCCAGCACCCAATTGCGCATACCACTGCCCCACAAACAGTCGTGGATTGAGTGACCAAATTATTATTGGAGGGATTATTACCCCTAGAAAGCGATCTGCCAATCGAGTAACAATCGGGTTCCTACTTACTGGTAGGAAATCACAGGTTTGTGGAGTCAGAAAACTTGCTTAAGGTTTCGGCCCATCTGGGAATCGAACCCAGGTCCTCTCGCTTGCGAGGCAAGAGCGCTAACCAATGTGCTATGGTACTCCAGTTTATAGGATCCTATCAAGACCATCTGATTCCTGGCTGGGACCCGGTCATTGAATTAAAGCCTGTTCTGCACAACGACATCTGTGCAGGTTTATAGACTTAATCGATAAAATTCGAAACACTTGGGGCCATCGCTGGTAATTTGGAAGTTATGCGAACACTCATTGCAATGAGAATCTTATTGATTCTGTCTCACCAGAACAATTAAAGGTGTTTCTGAAGCAATGAGGCATTTGCTCGCCCACACTCTGTGCAGGGTGGTCTAACAGCAGTCCACTTTACACTCACTAGACCGGAACTGGAGTCATCGAGATTCACAATAGCAAAAGGCACAGGAGTCCGGTCAATAAAATGGGTACCGTGTATCCCAATCTGACAACTGAGATAAATATATAATTATAAGAAGTATTTACATGCTTAAAAAGAAATGATCATTGAACAATGTAAATATTGTACTGAGTGTAACAGCTACACAATGGGACTGGACCAATAGTTTATGTTTTTGGTGTATTAATCCAAGTCTGTACATTTCTCTTCATCTGATGCTATTTGGGTGATTTCCACCTGTGCTCCCATCTCGCTCCCAAACTCCATCCAACCGACCTAGTGGAAAGCCCAGATCATCGTATTTTTTAATCAGTAAAAATGGCAGAAACGGGCAGGACACGGGAAAAGAGAAAGAATAGAACAATAATCCTTACGTTTGCTGTAGCGCTTTGCACATCGGGAGGATGTGCTAAAAGCACTTCACAGGACATTTTGCAAAGCGCAAAGACTGTATGTTTGTAGGCGAACGCAGAGGCCTAATTGCAGACAGCAATGACCCACAAACAGCGGTGAAGTGAATGACCAACTTTATTTGGGGGATTGTTGGGCAGAACGCTGGGAGAGAGAAATTCCCTTCTCTTTTTGAATAGCACCACAGGATCTTTAACACCCACCTGAACAGGCAGGCAGGCCCTTGGATTAATGTCTCTCATCTGAAGGATGGCACTTCCGACAATGCTATCGAGTGTCAGCCTAGACTAGGAGCTCAAAGTCCTGACATGGGGCTTGAACCTACAGTCTTCTAACTCAAGAGACTAGAGTGCTACCACCTGAGCCAGGCTGACACCTCACTCTCACGTTTCCAGGTGATAAAATAATAGACTATAAAGTGAAGCATTAAATATTGTGAAAACATTAGACATTTTTTTCCCGAAATAGCTGAGTCCTCAGGCTGCGCATGATTTCTTTTCTCTGGTTTCTCCACGGTTCAGAAGGCGTTGACTTGTGCTGCAACCTCACCCAAATGGCTGTTCTTCACCCGCAAAGCTTGACAGCTTGTGTCGGCAGGTGAGGGGGCATCGCAACCAAACCCAGTCTTGTTCAGACTTCATGTCAACAGCCGCGCACACAGCTTCCTGCAGAGCTCGCTCAGGAGTAATTAGTAGCAAGGACCCTGGAGACTATGATACCCCATTAGTGTCCTTCATTACTCATCCCCTATCAGCTAACAGACAAGATTTCAAATCTTGGACCTTCTTGGTCTGTGGGATTTGGTGATCCACTGACCCACACAGTAATGTTGCAAAATGCTTTCACAAAGGTGTGTAAGATCCCTGCCATCCAAACCTCCTCGGCTCCATCTCCCTCCTGACTGAGGTGAAAGCATCACATCCACTAAGACATAAGCACATAGAGCTCAAGCCAGCTAGCAGTCTGGTTGCTTGCTTTCCAGCGAGCTCACAGAGTTGATCATTTATTAAGAGGAGGGGGGGAATGAGGGAAACAGACCCTTCTTATCATCCGCAATTCATTGTCGGCTGCTCAAGACAAGGCAGTTTTGGTTCGTCTTACAATCAGCAGCTAAAAGTTTGGTTTTGTGTATAGAGTTCCAATGATAAGCTGGGGTATTTGGAATGATGGTTCTGTGTAATCATTTGTTGATTCAGTTTGTCCAATGTACAATGTGATTGGCAGTTATCAGAGATCTAAATACACAATGAACTCAGTGGTGATAAATTAACAGAGAATGTAATTCAGTCAATCAATCAACCAACCAACCAATCAATCAATCAATCAATCAATCAATCAACCAACCAACCAGTCAATAACAGAGAGATTTAAATAATGGATTTTACGTTGCCCACTCAATCCAGCACAAATTCAGCAGCTGACCACAACACTAAACCTTCCCGACTGATGCAGTTCTCTATTTTTCTCTCCTGTGGTCAGCTGGGTGTCTGACACGTGTGCGGAAACCCATCGCCAAGCTTAAGAGTATCTGAATCAGATTCATCAATGTCAGTCTTAATTTGGAAGCTGTGTTTCCTTTTGAGAATTGTGGAAAACCAGCTTACAAATCGGGACTGAATTTAAGAATATTTTCACCAATCTGAAATCATAAACCAAAACGGTCTCATGGCCTAAAAACCATCTGCAATTTCAGAGCTTGGATTAGATGGTACCTGATCTCAGTCAGGACAGCAATAGAAGGGTTACACTTTGCCTCAGTGGCTGTGGGCTGGCAGTTAAGAGTCACGCTCTAATCATCACCCAATGACCTCCCCTCGCAATTGGCAAGTGTACATTCGGACCCTGGAGCTTGCCTGTGATGTCCTGTCTCTCTGCCTTCCCCATCCTCAACAAACACAGAAGTCGTTCATTGCCCGTGATCTGTACCCAAACAAGAGCAGGCACCTTTCAGAGAGGAGGGGAGAAATTGTTGGGAACGAGCATGCGGGAAGGGTTAATGTGAAACTGCGGCGTATTTTACACGTGTTCCTGTTCTGACATCCTGCCAATTTACCATAATCTTGTGATCTAAGTTGTTTGACTCTCATTGTTATAAAATCCCGAGTCTCCAAGGCTACATCAAAGTCAGGTCCACTCCTGTTGGGACCTATGCCTTCTCCCACGGCCTGTCACGCCATTGGGGTTTGAATGTATAAAGTACATTAAATTGAATTTGATCTTACACAATTAACCTTCTGGATAACACCACCACAAACAGGAAAATGGTTTTGTACATGATTAAAAAAAAGGACCTTTGGTGGGATGTGATCTTATCAAAGTTTATATTCAGTGAACTGCAATGTGTTTCTTACTCTGAATGTATAAATAACAACAGTGTGAAAGGCATTTGCATTTACATTCAGACTGTTGGATTACTGTAAAATGCTTTCTTACAGTGTGACTGAACTCTCTCCAAGGAAAGTTTTACTGTATTCATTGTAAATAGTTGTTGATGTAATAAAATATCAATAAACTTTTATAGCTGCCGATATTGTATCGATATTAAATAATATTTACGCTGCATGAAATCTCTTCGCTTAACACGGTGCTTTCAGAATAGCCTGATTGAGTTTTATAGAGTCATTAAATATCCTGGTTTGTAACTTCTTAAACCCTGGAGTAAATTACGGTTTATATTGTTTCTGAACAGCATTTCCATACATTGTCTGAAAACGATTTAAGCTTCCTTAATATTTATCGCACTATTCTTCCGTTTTGTAAGATCTAGTTTTATTTTCTCACCTCTGAGATGGATTGCATTGATCCAGACATCTGCATGTATGGGGCAGGCGGGCGGGAGGGGGAAGAGAGATGGAAATCTTGATTTAATACTGAGAAAGTGTTCGCAAAACAGAATTCAAAAGGAAAATAAATCATGGAATAAAAATGTTTGAAGTCAGGTTTAATGGGGGTGGGAACAATATGCCCAAACACCTAAATAACTGGACTCGATGTTTGACTGTAACTTCAATGAAGTTATTACTTCTACTTGTAGGTGAGTTCCAGAAAAAGGGGGGGCATAACTATAAGATAGCCCGTAGCAAATCTAAATAAAAAAGGAGTTTGGGAGGAACTTCTTTATGCAGAGGGCGTTAAGAATGCGGAACTCTTTGTCGGGAAGCTGGGGTTAAAGCAGAAAGCGTCAACATGTTTGAAAGGAGACAGAATGCATACATAACAACAATAATAATCCTTGCATTTGATATTGCCCCTTGTCACATTGTTCAGAGACACGAAGGGAGGAGGGAATA